TATATATGTCTGGGGATGTAACCATTTTGTAGTCAGCAACAATTCGATTAGTAACCAATATTTAATCATAGATTTTTTTTCTTATTAACTGTAACTCATTGCAGTTACATTTAATTTGTAATTTACATGCTTGTTACTCCCCAACACAGATTATTTGTGACATCACAACTATCTTGAAAGCCCATCATGGTCCAGTGTGGAGTAGGTGTAATCTTGAAAACCCTTAGGTAGTTTTTAATTGTTTTTGGGAGGGGAAACAGACACATTGTTATTTAAAACAGTATTTTTATATGTCAAAACATGTCTGGAGAGAGCCTTGAACACATTCAGTGTGCTGTATGTTGACTTATTTCTAATTAGACTAGCTGTAGATACGTTTAAAACTGCCATATCGTATATTTTACATTGATTTAATCCTGTTTATTGTGATTTTCCTCCTCTCCTTCATGCATCTGATTCACATGGATGTATTATTAGATGATTCACCCGGCGCATCACTCCTTCTTGGGCGTGTATCAAGCAAACGCGTGGTCTGCTCCCATTGGCTGCATCATGTGTCCGTCAAGATTCTCTCTCCTTTGATTGGCCGAGCGGAGCAACGCTTCCTCGTTGAGATTCGGAGCCGCCGTCCAATCAGATTCAGACATCTGTTCGGAGGCGAGAGGAGAGCGGCGGCGGTGTCTCAGCGTTTTCACTGTAACATTACTGTATGAGAGACTGGACCGACTAACAACGCCTGCTACAAGGTGTAGCACATTATAGAGACGTGTTTGTAATTATATATTTTTATTTTTATTTGGCGGGGTGCTCGAGCTCGTCACAATGACAGTCCTGTCGCTGCTTTTGATGGCCGTGTCGGCCGCATCTGTACTGGCCGAGTCCACTGTGTATTTGCGAGAGCAATTTGAAGATGGGGGTGAGGTCATTTTGTTTATTTAAGTATACATTATTAGACTGTTTTGATTTGTTGAAACTGCAATTGTATCACATATTACAATACTGAATCAGTGCATGAGTGGATATTCTTCATGTTGGGTGGTTGCATTGATTTTATTTTTTACATGACAGCTCATAATTTAACAATTTCTGTGTTGCAGTGTTTGCTTACATCTCAGTTTTACATGCATTAAGTCTGCACAGGCACCATTTGTATTTTGACCCCCCATCTTCCCTCCCCTCATCTCCATTTTACCCCCCAGCTACCATCAAACCCCGTCTGCCTCCCCATCCCCCTCCTGCACATCTCCCCCCTGGTCATCCTCTGTTACCCCTCTTTACCTAGCTGTCTTATTCATTCATCACCAGCCTCTTAACAACACACAGTGTAGATAGTGAAAGCGATCACCCAGAGCCTGTCCCTGCAGCGTAACACATTCCCAGTGCACCTGCACTGATGCATCATCAGTGGTGGATTAGCAGCTTGTGAGTGTGTTCACAGTGGCCGGCTGTGCAGCTGAACCTACACTTGTTTGTGCAGATGCCTGGAAGAGTCGCTGGGTGGAATCCAAGCACAAGTCAGACTACGGCAAGTGGGTCCTGTCTGCAGGGAAGTTCTACGGAGACGCAGAGAAAGACAAAGGTGAGAGGAAAGGTTAAATCATACCCACCCAGTGTGGAGCTGTGTAAACTGGTAAGCGCCCACATCCCACATTGTTTTGGGTGTGTTTTATAGGATAAGGGTGGGTGTCCTAAGGGTGTGTGTCTGTCTGCGGTCTGTGTTGAGGAGGTTTAGTGGAAGATTTGACCAAGACTTAACAATGTGGTGCTTGTATGGGATTAAATTAGGTGTTGATTGTGATCTTCAAAGGACCATTTCTCTTGATACTTTAGTTGTTAATATGACTTTTGCAAGTGGCACAATATAAATGAGTTTTGTAAGTAAAATCAAAATGTACACATGCAACTCTTTCTACCTGAATGGGAGATTAAAGCTGGAAGGGGGTGACATTTTTTGAAGCTGAAATCGACACTGAACTAGTGACTAATGAGTCAATGGGCTCATATGTTACAATTGTTTTAAGATATTTTACCCAGATTAGATTACTCTGAATGTGGAGCTTCTAGCTGTGACTCTAAAACTGCTCTTATCCCGGTGAAATCATCATGGTATGTCCTGTAAGAGTGTCTCAGAATTGTTCCAATTGTAACTTTCTGTGGAGCAACTTCAGTATTTGTCCCATTCTCTCTGCTGTATAACTTGAGAAGAGACTTATTCAAATTCACAAATTCAAACCAGTCTGAACAACAATTTGATAAAAACAACATTGGTGACTTACACACAATACTGGGTCTTCCCTTCATGCAGAAACATTGCAGCAACTTTGTTTTTGTTTTAGGTCTGCAGACCAGCCAGGATGCCCGCTTCTACGCCTTGTCGTCCCGTTTCGATGACTTCAGCAACCAGGGCGAGACTCTGGTCATCCAGTTCACTGTGAAACATGAGCAGAGCATTGACTGTGGTGGAGGCTACATCAAACTGTTTCCCTCTGGCCTCAACCAGGAGGACATGCACGGAGACTCCGTCTACAACATCATGTTTGGTGAGTGTGGACAGTTTCCTTGACAGTGTCGGGAGATCTGTGTTGGCATTTTTTTCTCATAATATTTCATCACAGTTAAACAACTTGTAGTTTGCTTGTACACACAGACAACTTTTAACTTTCTAAGGCCCAGTCGGGCAACTGGCTCATAAATCTACTTGTGCAAAGTCAAGTTTTATTTGCTGCTACAAATTATTTTATTTATAAGTGGTTATAAAAAAGCAACTAAGACGTACCTTTTAAAAACAACCCTGTTTTATCCACCTTGCGTCAAACTGTGCAATAAATAGTTGGAGTTTCTCCCAAATCTTCTAACACCACTCAGCTAAACTCCTGTTTCCACGGGATAATTAAAACCTGGCTTGTGCTTAATGTGATCAACTTTGTCTTGATCCGCCGCCATTTTCTCACGAGTGCCCAGTCAGTACGGTACTTTGCATGTGCAACTCTTAACAGAGAAGAAAAGGACGCAAGATGGCTCAATCTTTAGCTTCTTTCATCATCTGCTCTGATGAAAAAGGTTATTTAAATTCTTTTTTTTCTTTCCTGATCAGGCATATGAGTTGTTAGATTTACCAGCCCGTCATGGCATTTTGCTTGCCCCGGGCAATTAGATAATCTTTAATATTGAGGCCTAATTATTATCCCTTACCTCCTTGTGTTTGCCTAGTTTTGGCTCTTAAATTAAGGACTGGATTCCACATTTTTACTTATTTATTTGTTTCTTGTTCAGGTCCTGATATTTGCGGCCCCGGCACAAAGAAGGTTCACGTCATCTTCAACTACAAAGGCAAGAACCATCTGATAAACAAGGACATCAGGTGCAAGGTGAGGCATCCATAATTGGTTCCTGTTGGCATTTTTGTTCATTCCTGCAGCATGAAGCAAAAGTTTGTTTCATTACATTAGCATTTTGCAATAACTACATTGTCTTTCTCACCATGAATCCAAACCACCAAGGACACGTTGAGAGTGCTTTGCATTCTAAACACGTCACATGCAAATCACTGGAGAATAAAATGCAATCAGAACAGCAGCTAACATTTCTTTTGTGTCTTGCAGGATGATGAGTACACCCACTTGTACACACTGATTGTGAACCCTGACAACACTTACGAGGTCAAGATCGACAATAAGAAGGTCGAGTCTGGCAGTCTGGAGGATGACTGGGACTTCCTGCCTCCCAAAAAAGTTAAGGACCCTGAAGCAAAAAAGCCAGAGGACTGGGACGACAGGGAGAAGATTCCTGACCCTGATGATAAGAAACCAGAGGTCAGTCTGCTTGAACCACTTTCATAATTCTTTTGAGGCCATTTTTTCCTACTGATACACATTTATCTTTTGCTTACAAACAGCATTCACTTCATTTGTATGAAACCTAGAGTGTATGTCTTTGTGAGGCCATGCCCTGTGTCTCTTTGGTAGGACTGGGACAAGCCTGAAAACATCCCAGATCCCGACGCAAAGAAGCCTGATGACTGGGATGAAGAGATGGACGGAGAGTGGGAGCCACCTATGGTTGCTAACCCTGATTACAAGGTAACAGCAAATAATTATGACAATTAATATACAATATCCAGTCAATAGATGGAAGACACTATTGCTGTGTCTGAACCAACTCCCTCTTTGCTACTTAGTACTCCATATTGATTTATTTGGGTGTCCAGTATCTCAGTGTGCTGTGGATGTGATGCAATATCGTGTTATCAAAGACTCCCACAAAAACAAAATCAATGATTTCCAGACCATGTGCGACACTTTTTGCCATAAATCCCAAAGTACACAGTATTACGCAATCTGTCAGTGATGAATGAGTAAATAAGGGAATGATTTTGGGCACAGCCTGTTTCAACACGAGCAATGCTTGAGTTGTAATTGTGCTAAAATATTTACTTTATTGAAAATACACCAAGGGAGGCAGCGACACATTGTTGTGTTATTGCCTCATTAAGTTCCTAACATGCAGTCTGTCCAATTAAATGCAATACTTTATTGCCATGTCAACACAGTTGATAGGAATTTGCCTTAATTCAGCTCTTAAAAACAGAAAATACACAAGTAAATAAAATATGTAAAATAAGAGCCGTTTCACATTTATACATTCAAACACACATAATATGATAACATCCTGAAGTGCTTTGTGCTGCTACGTAACTACTCTTAAAGTACTTGTTGGCCAATACGTGCTCTACTACTATAAGCCCTTGTGCGAGATCGAACAGCCTCAGGATATGTGCTTTTCCTGAGGCAAGATGCCCTACATCTGAAACTCTGAAATCTACTTCTGAAGGGGAGAGATTTGAAGAGGGAGCTAGCAGGGTGAGAGGAGTCAGCGATCACCTTCTGCATCATGCATCTGATTCATGTGGCATGTATGGAGGAGACAGTGGGAAGATCACAGCCAGTGATCTTTGACACTGTGTGTACGACTCTTACCAACTGTTCCCTTTGAAGGGCAGCTGTGTTGCTAGACCACACTGTGACTGAGAAGGTGACGAGTTGTAGCATTGCCTCCAGTCACCAAACTTTTTAAGCTGGCGCAGGAAGTGAAGCCTCTTAAGTGTGGCATACGGTGGTGCCAAGGAATTTAAAGTGTCACCCCTCCCCACTATCTGGTCACTGATCACCAATGGGTAGGACCCCCTTCATTCCTCCAGAGGTCAGTTATCACCTCTTTTGTCCTAAGGCCCAGATACACCAAACTGACATCAAAGAACTAGTGACAGTGAAGGCCAACTGTTGCATCACCTCATGTTGCCTGTGTCTTAGTCAAAAAGTTGCACTTGAACACACCGCAGAGACAACAGCCAACGGCCAACTCATGCACATGCACCTGCTTGAGAGGAAATAACTCTCCATAGCAGCAGGGGGCGGTAGTCTGTATTCATTATTAGAGATTCAAGACTCTAGTCAGCCACCTAGCACGTTAACAAGACAACCCAATGTTTAAAGAACAAAGGATATTTTCTGTGTGCTTGCGAATAAAAACACAAAAACAAACCATTCCTGCTTAAGAGCTCTGTGGCTAAGAAATAATCTTGTTTCGATCTCACGCCCTCTTGACCTTCGTCGTTTGTTTACTTTCCTCACTTCTATTTCTCTTTTTGTGTACTGAGATGAACTGCCAGTCAGAGTAATTTCACTCACTGACAGGCTTTGCTGTCTCAGACACAGATTCAACAAGCTAAATCAGCCAAAAAACAGGTGCCAAGGGCTGACTAGTGCCAACAGTGTGGGACACACTTCAAAAATTAGGGAGATAGATGCTCACCAGTGGCCAAGGACCAATGGCTGACCATCAGCTTGGTGTGTCAGGGCCCTTAAGTGAAGTTTAAAACCAGGTTGTCTGTCCCACACCACTCCACTAGGGCCCCCGCCTCAGCCCTGTAGGTGACACCGAGCATGAGCTGTCTATTTCATTATTTATTCCAAATAAAGCTCTTAATCAGCAGATGTATTTTGTTTTCTGATTCCTCTGACATTAACCAGCCTGTCTGGGTGTTAACAGGGTGAGTGGAAGCCAAGAGAGATCGACAATCCTGCCTACAAGGGCAAGTGGATCCACCCTGAGATTGACAACCCAGAGTACACAGCCGATTCTGAGATCTATAAATACGACAGCATCGGCGTGATTGGACTTGACTTGTGGCAGGTGAGAAGATACTGTCCCTGAATGTCTTTTTTATTGTTTTGCAACTGTTTTTATTGGGGTTAAACATACAGTTAAACATTTGGAAGAAGTATTTTAAGTAGATGTATTAAGGAGACAAAAAATAAATTTGATAAAAAACATAGAAATAAAAGAAAGAAAAAGAACTAATAGAAATCAAACAAATCCGTGTTTTACAGGTGAATTATCATACAAGTATAGTTAGCTTGCCATACTTAAATTTAGTTCAGTTAGTTCAGTTTAAAAACAGATGTTGACTGTTTTATTATCTGATTATTAATAAGAGAATTTGCTTAAATGAATGACAGTAAACTAGTATGCGATTTAAACTTGAACATATGCATCAAATAGAAACATTTGACTTGCGGCGTGTTGTGCCTTATTTTCAGTTATAGACACAAAGGCTGTTTTAAGTGTGTTTCTGGTTCGTACACAACTGTTTTCAGTCAGTGTTTCTTTTCATGTAGCTTTTCTTTCACTGGATTTGTTTGCATGACGTACCTGACAGTAAAATGTTGACTTCTTTTTGATATAGGTCAAGTCTGGCACCATCTTTGATAACTTCCTGATCACCAACGACCCAAACCTGGCAGAGGAAGTAGGCAACGACACATGGGGTAAAACTAAGGTCAGTCCAAAGCTTCTATCTTAAGTCATGTGTCCTGTTCTTGCATCTTAGTATTTTGTGGTGTGTATATCAGAATCAGAAATACTTAATTGGTCTCCGAGGGGAAATTGTGATTGGTTACAGTTGCTTCGATGTAAAGAACAGAGAATTAAGAAGAAGAATTAAGAGTATGAAATAAAAGTATGTAAATATAAAGCAATAAAATAAAATGAAATTGTGCATTATGCTACTGTGTTTAACACTAGTACTTAATATATTCGATTTTTTTTTTTTTAATATATATCGTCATTATGTGGAGGCAATATATACAATATATACATCAATAGAATAAAAAGAATAGAATATGTACAGTTATGTGCATGATAAAGTCAAATACAGAAAAAATGCACATAATTGCATATACATATATATGTATATAATATATAATATGCAATATAATAAAATAATAAATAATAATAATAAATAATATACTCATCACTTTTTAATTTGTCATCTCCAGGATGCAGAGAAGAAGATGAAAGAAAGCCAAGAGGAGGAGGAGAGAAAGAAACGCGAGGAAGAGGACAGCCAGAGGAGAGAGGACGCAAAGGAGGAGGACGAGGAGGAAGAGGAGGAGAAAGACGAGGAGGAGGAAGACGAAGAGGAGGAGGAGGAGGAGGAGGAGGGCGAGGAGCAGGAGGAGGAAGAAGAGGACGAGGAAGGCACAGACTCTAAACTCAAGGATGAGTTATAAACTCGGTGCAGGAACTGACTGTCTGTGTCAATGAGCCATTGGAACGAGGCTGGAGACTGACGAGATGATAGCCCCTCATGACAGACACCCTGGGGTGGGGCTGGGTGGGGTGGGGTTTTCATTTGTTTGTTTACAAAGCGAGGGAGAAGGCGAAAAAGGGCAATTATTCTCTTTCCTGTTTCCATGTGCTACTACTACTACTACTACTACTATTATTATAATATTAAACGAGGAATAGTAATAGAAGGAAGGAAGATGTCATAACGAATGTCGAGACAGGAAGTCAATCACCTAAATTGTTTCGCAGTTGATACCCAACAGAAATATATAAACTGTCATTGGTGTTCTTTGAAAATCTGGGTTTTTATGAAGTAATGTTGTGAGATGAGAAGCTATATTTGGTATGTGGATGATACCATGAAATTGTTTGGTTTACCTCATGTGTTGTTTGTCTTATTAATCTGTTGGTTTTTTGTTAATCTTTTGCAGTTGGTCACTCTGTCACATGGTCCCCTTTAACGACCTCGTCGACCTCAAAAGATTCGACAGGGTCAGACTTCATTTTGCAGGTTATATTGCCTGTTATTCAAAGGTCTTGATTTGAACAAGGGTTAATGTCATGGGGACAAGAGTGCGTAAAAAAAGCTGTCGTCCGTAGGATAATACGGGGTGCTTTAAGATGAAATCCCTCGCATAGTTTTGTACTGTATAGTTAACACTTTTTCACTTCAATGCACATACTGTAGTCTCGTGTGTCTAAAGAAACAGTGCTCAAACTCAGATGTACATTGAGAGCACTCTAGTAGCAGGAAAAGCCTCTGTTCATCCGGTAGGTGCTCACTTTACGTTTCCTCATAGTCGGTGTACACAACCAGTTCTCCTCATTTCTGATGCTAATATCTCTGCACTGCTGTACCCCAACACACTGTCCCCAACAGTCTGAGAGATGACCCTTTTGTAAAAGACATATTTTGTACTAATGGTAGTAACTGAAGTGGGAAGATTTTCATGTTGCTGTGTAAAAAAAAAAGAAAACAAAGACAGGTGTTCTGTCCAATAAAATCAACCAGTAGAAAATGAGCAGGAGTCTTCCTCAATTTTGTTTTGTTATATTAAAAGTGGCTTTCTATTAGTAATACCTGCCTTTACATGGATAGCACAGGCCTGTATGGTATTTGTATTTGTTTTCCTCTTAGTTGCATTACCGTTTTCGGTAACACTTTACTTGAAGGTATCTACATAAGAGTGACATGAAACTGTCATAACTATGACATAACACAGTCATGAACCTGTCATGAAGATTATGTAGGTGTTGTAAACGTTTATGACTGTTGTCATTAAGTGTCATTCGGTTTTTGTAATGACAAGCTGACATTGTTTGGGTTGTCTTGATTATGACAACTTGACATTAATCAAAGTGACATTACCAGAAGTTGTCTTTGTCATAATAACTTGAAATTAACAAGAAATGCACCTCTTTTTGTGTTTATGACAAGTTGATATAATGATTATTATTGTTATGACAAAGACATCTGCTGGTAATGTCATCCTGGTTAATGTCAAGTTCTCATAGTCAAGACAACCCAAACAGTGTCAACTTGTCATTACAAAAACCGAATGGCACTAACTAAACGTTTATGATATGTACATAATGTTTATGACAAGTTCATGACAGTGTCATGTCATAGTTATGACAGTGTCATGTCATAGTTATGACAGTGTCATGTCACCCTTATGTAGATACCTTCAAGTAAAGTGTTACCCAGTTTTCTTGTAGCAGTGTTGGAAAGTCATGAAGTAGGGGAGCGCGGGGCACAACCTAACATGGGGTAAATTGTAAATGAACTTCTTAAGTGGTTACACAGGTCATTCCTTTGGTGCTTCTGGCCAGTTGACCACAATACCGCCAAAGAGTGACCTGCAAAATTCAACAGAGTTTCAGCAGAGTTCAGTCACAAAGAGTGTTTTCAGCCAACGTAAGTAAATTTCTTTGTCATGCTTGTTTTTCGATTGCTGAGCTGTCTGTGTAAGTCACCAAATTCAACTATATGTCATCTTAATAACTGTCCTGTTGCCCAAAACATAGCACCGTTTTTGAATTATGTAACCAATTCCCAGCAAGTGTTAGCAAGGCTTGATAAAATTTCCACACTGCAGGGTTAGTTGTAATGTGGTGTTAAAACTAAGCCGCCACTTCAAACTTGTGTTCAGTTTGAACTAATGTCCTTATTTAAATGAGATATACTTTGTATTTTAATTTGTCATGTATCTTATGGGCATACATTTCACAATCATGTCAATATTCATACATTCAAAACTCATATTTTGACATGTGGATCTAGGTTACCTATTCAGTGTACATCTATTAGTCCAGCCATTAAATATTGATGATAGACTGACAGATGGATGGATACTTGTATGGATACCTATCCTTCCCCTGATGTAGATGGAGGTCTATAGTATATAGCTATAATTATATTGAATTAATTGTATTAAACAGACTTTTGCAGCAGGTGTTACAGCTAACCCTCTGCCTGTTACAATTAACCCCACCCATAGGGTATGTTTTAACACTTCACTTCCACCACTTCTTGGTGTAATTGTAGAAGAAAGGTAAATTCTAGGAAAAAAAAACCCTGTGTGTATTTGTAGCAGAGGGATATGCATGTTGTTAGAATAATACAAAACAAAAAATCCTCTCAAACAGTTTTAATACCATTTAACCAAAACTAAAATGTGTTAGGTTGTGCCCCACTCATCCCTAGGATCATTGCAGGCACTTTTACTCATGTACCTCTACTCCATGGAATTTCAGATGGAAATGTACTTTTTACATTTATCTGATAGCTACAGTTACTTGCAGAATCAGATTACACATACAAAGCACATGATCTGAAACCATTATGTAAAAATTGAACAACCCGGAAAGTTTAAAATGAGCTCCACCTAATGGTAGAAAGTATTTGTGTCACACCAGCACATATGTACTTTTACTCAAGAAAGATTTTGAATGCAAGTCTTGTAACTGTACCGGAGTATTCTGACATTGTTTCACTGCGATTGAAAAAACTACTTTGGGTTTACTTCCTACAACTGAAAATGTACACATTATAACTATTTTCAGACTCATTTAAATTAAATGAGACTACTTTTTTGGCTTATAGATGGACAGACAGATAGATTCATGATATTCAGATTTTAATTTCTTGCAGTGTGGAGGCTTTGAAACAACATGTAAACAATGTTGTGAAATACATTTTATAGATCTATAACTGAAAAGTTGAACAAATTGTTACAAAATATGAAAAATACCATGACATATTACAGTAATGGTTGCCTTACATTGCACATTATTCAGCTGTCGTCAGTTCTTATTACACACATTTTTCTCATCATCTTGTCTGATTTCTGTAAAGAAAATATGCCTGTTGGTCTTCAGACTTTCCAAACTACACCGTAACTTAAAAGTTATTACTAACTTCCTTAATAACTGCATTAGTGACTTGTTACTTTATCCTGATCAATTTGGTTTTAAAGATTGAATACATGTTTCATGTTCATTAGACTCTGTCTTCCATAGATAACTGAAAAAAACTTCTAAAAATTCTGATTTTTATTTTATTTTTATTTTAACAATTTATCTTCTTCCCAACAGGATGGCAAATTATTTATTCGTCGTAAGTTTATGAGGAGCACATATTGCAAAACTGGGAAAATAAGGAAGCACCTACATTTCAAGAATGGAAAACTTTAATGAAATCTTATCTGTTGTAATGAAAGGACAATACCAGAAGACAGTAACAAAGAGAAAGAATTTGATAAGATATGGAGCCCAATCTATGCAGCTCTGTAGACTAAGTGGAGTCGCACCCAGCATCTTTACACCCTGAGGAACCCTGTAAAGCATGTTTATCCTGTCTTGTTTATCATGTGTTTACGTGTGTGTACGTGTGTGTATGTATGTATCAGTGTGTGGGTGGGCAGCGGGTGTGTGCATGTATGCAGTAAGTATGTATAAGCATGTGTGGGTGAGGATGCAACATCTCATGTGATGACGGCTGTATATGACCACAGTGCATTTGTGGATAAGTAAGTCAAACAGGATTAAGTCATGACATTCAGTTTCTTGACAAAACAATGATTATGTAACACGGGAAATGTACAGTATTCAGAACTATTTATTTATTTATTTGACCAGGAAGTCCAGAAAATCTCTTTTACCAGAGAGACCTGGCTGAAGTGGCAGCCAGTCAGAACACATTTAAAATGCAACAAATACAACATATAATACAAAAATCCACATTAAAACAACAACTATTCAAACATAGTGGCCTCTCGAGAGAAACAAGCACATGTCTCTGTCACCACACTGTTTATGATGCCCTTAAAATCATTGATGGATATAAGGGTTTCTGATTTTAGATCTTTTTGACAATTGTTCCATGTCCATGGTGCATAGTAGGAAGATGCAGTTTCCCCAGATCTATCAAAACCTGAGGTACATTAAAAAGCTCACCTAATAAAAACAATTACAAACTCCTGCCATCTGGTAGACGCTACAGAAGTGTGAAAGCAAGAACATCCAGACTAAAAAACTGTTTCTATCCACAGGCCATCAGACTACTAAACCGGTTATCTGTCTTTCTGTACGTATACATATTGGACAATGTAACAATATTTGATACTATTTGCACAACAATATTTGCACAACAAATCTGACTGTACATAATACTTGCTCTTTTTTTTATTATTTATTTTTATTTATTTTAGTTAAGTCAATGTGTATTTTAGTGGTGTCAGGGCAGGAAGTAAGAATTTCATTGCCTGTAACCACGTTTATGTTTGCTGTGTACATGACAATAAACCTCTTGAATCTTGAAAAAGATTTATTTTGTAAAAAATAAAAATAACACATAAATATACAAATAATTAAAGAAAATGTGGTGGGGTGCAGCAGAGGGACTTTTGACCTCAGTATTTCTAAAATCCTTGCCCAGGCCCTGATTGTTGTGTTTCTTTTGTAACTTAAAAGCAGCTTGCAATTTAGAGTGAATCAATGTGCAGGAAAATTAGATTGTCAAAATATGCTATGTATATGTATATATAGATACATAAATACAAACTACAGTGACATCTGCTTCTTTTTCCACCTCTGCTACAAAATTAAAAAAACAACAACAGAAAAATAATAATGAAAATAAAAATTAAATTAAATTAAATAAAAAAAAATTGAAAAATAAAATAAAATAAATAAAATAAAATGAAAATCAATATTTCTTTTGGCTTAGGGTTTGTTTTTTGCTACGTGTTTAAGAGACGATAGTAAAGTCTGCTATCCAGCCATAGGTTTTATGGTTTTAGGTTTTATATTTTATTAATATTTTATTCCTGTCATAGAGGTCCGGTGCCAGGTTTTTCAGCGGCCTCTGTCTGTGTCTGGCAGCAGCGCAGCATGAAAGCAGTGGGAAACAGAAACACTATGGCTGCCACTCTGTCTCTTACTCAGGTAACACTGTCTTACAACTCAAATCTAACGACAGCAAACGTCTGGTGTCCTCTGTGTGCTCTGCTCGGAGACATTTTAGCAGTGTTGGTGAAACCGGGCGGGCGGAGAGGCGAGCCTACCTCGATCCTCGTCCCTCTTTTTGGAAGTTTAGTGCTGCTGTGACTGGGAAAAGTTTCTGCCTAACGTTAATCTCTTTGGGGACTGCGTAAGGGCGTAGCTAGCTAGCTAGCATGCTAGCTAACAGCTAGTTAGTGTGCAGTGTTGGGCTGTTTTAGAGCCGCTTTGTCAAACTTCACACTCGCCATGTAACGTTACTTGGCTTCGTTTCGGTTAGGAGTGTGTATGATAACGTTTTAAGATGCCTCGTTTTGCTACAGGCTAGTTGGTCCTGGCCAAAGAGATGTTAATACGAGATACTCATGTGTGGCTCTGTTGTGGCTTCACTGTCATATCTTTGCTAGTGGAGCCTCTGCTAACACTGTTGTCCGCTAAAACATAAAGCAAGTTACACACAGTGTACGTTAAAGCAGCCGTTGGGGACTTCATTGCTGCTTGTGTAGCTTGCTATGTGGTT